TGCAGCTGAACAGTAGTAGATGTATTGCTGCCTTTTAACTCTAGAAGTACTTCTTTTAGAATATTCTTGCATGAAAAAATACACAGCTGGAAGGATCCACTGCTCAAAATATAAAGGTACACTTAGGTGTTGATATGCACATGCTGCTTTGAAGCTTAAAATCAGAAGTCTGATACAGCAGGGGTTACAGAAAAAGGATAGAGATGAAACCAGGATGAAGAAGTGGAATAATGACTGCATCCCTAGTACTATATGTCCTAGTTGGTGGAATGTGGCCAACAGTATGTTGGCTTGCAAGGTAGTTTCTAGAATAGAAATTGTAGCTGGCACATAATAGCATGAACTTGCTTGGAGTAAAACTGCACTTAGTTGTTCTTCTGGAATACTTGCGACAAAAACTCACTGGGATTGTTCTAACTGTAAACATGGTATGATGCATGTGACATGGGTACAACTAAGACTAGGAACCTTCTTTATATTATTAGATGGCAGTGTGTGAACGCTCTGATTGACTAAAGCCATGATAGACAGCAAACATCAATACCCATGAGTCCACATGGTAACAACCATGGCATATTCCTCTGAAATGAAATAGCACGAAAAGTATATGGATATGTGTGTATGCAGTTCAGTTAAATCAAGGAAGGGCAAACATATGGGGCTGATGAGTATAAATGTATACATTTTGACAACGTATAACAGGCACACTCAAAAAAGGCTGCCATAGAAGAACCTGTCTATTCATAAAATGGCTACCAAAATGGCCATGTCCAGTCTCAGGATATTCATTTACCATAAAAGAAATTGGTAAGATTGGTTGGTTGGTTAGTTAGATTTGTTTATTTTTATTTTTTTTTGGCTAGTCTTATAAGTCACTCCAATCAAAGCTCAGGATGATGCTTTATGGATGTGTCTATAGATAAGAGATGGGATATCGGATGAAAAGATCATTGGTTGTAAACTAAGAGAGGGTGAAGAGTTACAAAGATTGTTTATACTTGTGGTGAAGGTTGGAAGTCAGTTTCTTTCCTCTTTCCTTACTATATTCTTACTTTTTTCCCCTTTTTTCTTTCTATTTTCTGTGTTTTCTTCTCTTTTGCACCTTTCACTTTTTTTTCTATTTTTCTTTTTTCTTTTTTAGTTTGCATTAGATTTGACTATTGTAATTAAAATCCTTACTATATATAAAAAAGCTGAGCTGTGTATATCTCAACCTTCCTAAAAATATAAATCACAATAAAATAGCAGCAACCTTAAACCATAAAAATAACAATATAGAGAACCATATAGTATCAGGAATCTAATCCATTCCACAGCCATCAAGGACAGCTTCTATTGCTACATGGAACAAATCATGCCATTCTGGCTCCCAAGGCCTGATGAAACAGCCATGTTTTAATAGACTTCCTAGAAACCAGGAGGGAGAGGTCCATTTGGACTTTTGGGAGAATACTGTTCCACAGAAGAGTGGCAATAATTGAGGAAGCTCAACTCTGAAACCCCTAAAAATATCATTCTCTGAGTGAAAGGGCACAGAGACAACCTACACTACCAGACCTTATTGGATGCAGGCAGCTACTATAGGAAGAAGGTAGTCCTGTAGATTTCCAACTTTTGAACCATGCAAGACTTTAAAGGTGACAATCAGCACCTTGAACGGCACCCAGAAGCCAACTGGCAACCAGTGGAGCTCCTGAAGTAGTGATATTGCAGCCCCATGTAGGATGCACTGCAGCAGCTCAGTTGAGAGGTATCTAAGGTTGTTCTCCATCCTCCTCTCAGATTCCTTTCATCCCAACTCCCCCTTTGCCCTTCCTTCCTTCCTTCCTTCCTTCCTTCCTTCCTTCCTTCCTTCCTTCGACAAAATCTCAAACGAAGCATTGGACTGCAACTACTCTTTTTTTTTTCCCCTAAGAATATCTCTGGGATCTATGAGGAGCCCAGATAAGTTCCTACAAATATATATCATGCCAGAAGTTATTTTCCTTCACACTATAGCCAGCTTCCCACCTTTGTTGTTTTGTTGTTAATCAAAAGATGTTTGTGTATGTGTAAGTGTGTGTGTTTCAGGTGGAATAGGGAGCCTAGCAGATTTTACAAGTGTTCACAGGACACGTTGATTCTCATGGCACGTCACTGCTTATCTTCAGAAACACATTACCTGTCTAAATTGTATTAGGGACTGAAGATTAATATGCTGGAATTCCAAGGAAGAAGATATTCATGGAGATATTCAGAGAGGCAATTCCAGGTACAAGAAACAGCAAGTAAGAAGAGTTAGACTTGTGTAAGGGAGCAGACACCTTGCCATTAAAGAGACCATGATTGATTAGGTCAATAAAACCCCTGAGGTTGCTTTGTTTTCTCCGTAAAAATACTGGCTATCAACAACTGTTTAATACAACATAGGTGAAGCTCAACATTATCACACATATAAAAGATGGTCTTCAAGCAACACACTGTAATTAAAACTACTTGCCACTGAACAGCAGAAAGCAACTTGAAGATATTTATGAAGCTTAACACAGTACAAACAGTTATACAGGTAGTCCTCAACTTACGACAGCAATTGGGACCAAAATTTCTGTCAATAAACGGGTGGGGAGATTTACCTCAGTGACTTGCAACCTTCCCTACTGGCTTCCCCACTGAATTTTTGCTGAAGCTGACAGGGAAGGTTGCAGATGGCAATCACATGATCGTGGAGTGCTTGGCAACCGGACATAAACACAAATGGTCTGCCAAGCACCCAGATCATGATCATATGACTGCGGGGGTGGTTGGACAGCTGGAACTCTGAGGACTGGTCGTAACCACCATTCGTTCAGTGCTGTTGTAATTTGGAATGGTCGCTGACTGAATGGTCACTGGTTGAGGACTACCTGTATATGCATATAGACACCCTTTGCTATTTTAAAAATAATGCACTGCTAAAATGCACCTTTTTCTTTTCATTTTCTGTGTACCATGAATGTTCTCATACTATCCACCTTAAAATCAATAATCAGGGAGAACTAATTTGATATTTATGTGCAAGCATCACAAACTGCTACTGTGGATTTTTCATTTACACTTACAGCCTTTTGAAAAGCTTTTGCCATTCAAATTGGCCCTCAGAAGGAGAGTAAAACATCATGTTCAGGTGCATGATGACTACACACAAAGCCGCCATTTTTAATCAAGAAAGGCCAAGGATGCTGCTTGTTTATGTATTTAAGATTTGGGGAGACTTGGGAGTTTTCCACAAGTGCTATTAAGGATATTTTTTGTTTGGAAAGAAGACATGCAAATGTTAATGACCAGATAAAATATCAAATGACTCTCACCAAGATATTTAATTTACATATGCAGTAAATGCAACAATGCTTTACTTTTATTTATGAAATTTATACACCAGATCAATTCACCTGGACCATAGGCAGTATACAGTACAGATAAGAAAATACAGTAGTCGTCATCGTAGTAGTAGTAGTAGTAGTAATAATAATACAGTAGGCCATATGTAAGTACAATACAAATAAAAATATGCATTGATAGCTTCAGACCCATTCTCAAAAAGCCCTTGAAAAGAGCCAGTGCTTTACATCTTTCTGGAAGGCCATAAGATTGGAAGCCATTCTTGCCTTACAGGAGAAGCTGCTCTACAAAAGGGGACCCTGCCTTCAGGCCTCCTCCTGTCACATCTCTTGGCAGGTGAGGACTCTGAGTACAAGTTCCCTGAGGGTCTGGATCAGGTGGGCAGATTTGATTAGTGAAACATACTTAGGTCCCATGCCATTAAAGGTAGTGATCAACTCTTTGACTTGAGAAACATACTGGTATCCAATACAGCTCCTTAGTATTGAGACTGATCAATAAATATGCAGGCTGCTGCATTTTGGACCAGCTGAAGTTTCTGCATGGTCTTCAAGGGTGTAGAGTATGTAGAGCAAATTACAGTAGTCTAAGTGAGAGATGACAAGGGGGTGAGATATTGTCCTCAATGCATCCTGATGCTATTAAAAAATCAATTTAAGGAGCGTGTCTTAAAATGATCACTGACTTGTGTTATCTGTAACAATCCCCTTAAAAAGGAACAACAGTATACTTTCAGTTCAGCTTCTCATGGGTACAATCACTCAAACTAATTTGGCTCGATTTAACTGCATTGTACTGTAGTCACTTCCCTCAAGATTTCCAAATCATTTGACTTTATATGCTTTCCAATAAAGTGGAAGACATTTCATTTAAAAAACTCATGGCTAACTCATTCTAAGTAGTAGTGGAAATATACGCTGAGGTTTTGTAAGGTCACATGCAGGGCTGGCAAGAACATGCCCCACGTTCCTGTGAACAAAACCAAGGAAACCCAAGGAATACTTCTATTAAGAGATATTCAACTAAAATCTCCAGGTAATTTTTTAAAACCTGCAGGATGCTTTTCATTCCAATATTCCCAAAAGCAAAAAGAAACTGTGAAGAAAGTAATCAGTGTGTGTAAGTCTAGATATCACCTGCTAGACCACACTGCATCTGGAAACAGTACATTACCAGTGAGCAAATTAGATTATGGAATTCTCTTTTATTTAAAAAAATGCTCCATACAAGGAAAATTAACATAGGACTAGCAGTGTTATACAGAGATTAGAGGGATTTTTGAGTAATTTATTCACAAGGAGAGAGTTAACTAGTATCTTTCAGGGGGAATGTTTATGTGGAGAAGTAGTCATTCATTCAACGGATTAACATTTTCAGGACAAATGTCACTTCTGACTTGTAAAATATCAGGACAAAGGAATTTGTATTAAATCAAGAAGATTTGCATTTACTGAGTCAGGCTTATCACATAGCTGCCCTAACAACAGTTTCCCTAGTTTGCTCCCTTAAATGTTTTCTTTAAAAATCATGCAGAAAAGTACCACAAGATTCCTGCAAGAAAATGGAGGCTGTCATGTCACATATTCTCTAATGGAAACATGAGAAACACCTGCATACCTAGGGCATTTTTTATTTTGTTTTCAGTATGTTCTTCATGCAGCATGTTAAATGATCATTGCAACATCTGGAATGTACAAAGAAATCTTTCCTACCTTAGGGGCTCTGGCATGCTTCCCACATCGGGCATCTTTCACAAGGCTGACATCTAACAGTTCAGATTCCTGCACCTGAAAGACAGAGAGAAAAAAATAGCCCCATGGTTTATATTGTACTGTACAAATGGTATAATTACATCAATTCCACTGCATTTTCCTATATTCAATTACTGAAAGCCAGCTTGCATGCAGATTCTTAATCTGCTAAGTAGAGTCTAAGCTCAAAACAAAGCTAGATGGACTACCTGTAATTACAAATAATTATTACTCTCCATCAGATGGTTCAGAGATGAGAGAGTTTGTAATCCAGCTCATGTGGAAGTCACAAAGTTGAGGGGAGGCTGCTCTAAAAGACCCCATCAAGCCCTCATTCTTTCAGATTTGCTATTCTCCAGGGCAGTGTTTCTCAACCTTGGGAACTTTAAGATGTGTGGACTTCAACTTCCAGAATTCCCCAGCCAGCATGGGGAATTAAAGTTCCCAAGGTTGAGAAACACTGCCCTGGAGAATA